TTCCTAAGGGTGCGACCCTTTAATACAGTTCCTCATGCTGTACTGACCCCGCCCCCAACCATAAAATCACTTTCCTTGCTTCTTCATTACTGTCATTTTGCTACCATTAGGAATAGTAATACAAATCGTTTTGTAGACAGGCTTGTCAAATGGGGTGTAACCCACAGGTTCAGGACTGCTGTTTTTGAGTTTCTGTGATAGAGAATTGTCAGAACTTTTGTTGGGCCTGGTGCTCAAACCTGTGGTGATTCTAACGCTTAAGGAGGCTGAGGCAGAAGATTGTCTTGAGTTCCAGGTTAAAAAAAAAAAAAACACAACTCAACCTTAATTTCTCAATATTATTAACTGTATAAGTAATAGATAAGTAAATAGATGTTCACTAAAATAAGAGCCAGGAGGTATAGGAGGCCCTTGGATTGTCTTTAGCTTTTTAAAATATTTTTGAGAGCCGGTCAGTGGTGGCGCACACCTTTAACCCCAGCATTTGAGGCAGGGTCAGGTTGATCTGTGAGTTCGAGGCCAGCCTGGTCTACAGAGCGAGTTCCAGGACAGGCTCCAAAAGCTACAGAGAAACCACATCTTGACACCCCTCACACACATCAAGAAAAAGATAAGACAAGGCTCACACCTGTAATCCTAGCATTCAGGGGCAGATCTCTGTAAATTCAAGGCTCAGCATGGTCTACAGAGCGAGTTCCAGAACTGGCTCCAAAGCTACACAAACAGACCCTGTCTCAAAAAACAAAAACAAAATCATAATGATATTCAATCTTGTACATTTAAAGAATTCCTCCAAAGAAATTTGTTTTCTTTTAGTTTTTATTTTGTTTTTTGTTTGTCTGTTTGTTTTTCGTTTTTTTTTCCAAGACAGGGTTTGCCTGTGTAACAGCCTGGAGCTAGCTCTGTAGACCAGGCTGGCCTCGAACTCACAGAGATCAGCCTGCCTCTGTCTCCCAAGTGCTGGGATTAAAGGCGTGCACCACCACTGCCCGGCTGCAAAACAATTTTCAAAGGATGGCAATCCCAAGAAAAAATGGTCAGAGGATATGATCAGGCAGTGTCGGGGTGTTACTAAGAGGGGGGCCCTAGTTTGTCCTGGCTGCTTGGCTAGTTTACACCCGAAATAATCACATAGAAACTGTATTCATTAAAACACTGCTTGGAGCTGGAGAGATAGCTCAGAGGTTAAGAACACTGACTGTTCTTCCAGAGGTCCTGAGTTCAATTCCCAGCAACCACATGGTGGTTCACAGCCTTCTATAATGAGATCTGGTGCCCTCTTCTGGCATGCAAGCATACATGGAAGGAATGTTGTATACATAATAAATAAATAAATCTTTAAAAATAAAATAAAATAAAACACTGCTTGTCTCTAGTTTCTTATTGGCTAATTCTTACATCTTAATTTAAGCCATTTCTATTAAGCTGTGTATCGTCACATGACTGTGGCTTACTGGCAAGATTCTAACCAGCGTCTGTCTCAGGTAGAAGATCCATGGCGTCTCCCACTCTGCCCTTCTTCCCAGTACTCAGTTCTGTCTTCTCTGCCCACCTAAGTTCTGCCCTATCAGGCCCAAAGCAGTTTTTTTTTTTATTCATTAACCAATGAAAGTAACACATGAACAGAAGAACCTCCTACAACATCCAGGTTTTCTTTCCAGGTGCTATGATAAAACACCTAACAAAGGAAACTTTTAAAAGAGTAGGGTTTATTTGCCTTACATTTGCAGGTTACAGTCCATCATAGCAGTGAAGTCAAGGCAGCTGGAACTTGGAGAAAGTCATATCAACTGTCAGAAGCAGAAAGAGAATGCACACTCACTACTGATATAACATTTTAATGCCGGTACTCACCTAGGGCTTTCTCTTTCTTTTTGTAATACAGTTTGGTATCCAAACCCAGGGCATAGTATCACCCAGAGTGGGCTGGGTCGTCCCACATCAATTAATGCCATCAAGACAATCCCGTAGACATGCCCCAGGCCCACCTGATCCTAGATAATCCCTCCTTGATTCTCCCTTCCCAAGTGATCCTAGCTTCTGTAGAGGTAACAATACTAATCATCAAAGCCACCTTTACAAAAGACAAACCTCCCAGGGCTAATCACTCGTGACAGGTCGCTCCAATAGATGACCAGAAAACTCTAAGTTATGCAAACCACTTAATGGCTATTTGTCTGGAGAATCTATGTAAGCTAGAAAGTTCTCAGAAAGGCCAGCAAGATGGAATGGAAGAGGGGGTGTACTTAGACAAAAATAGAAGGGTTTTTTTTGGTGGGGGGAGTGACAGCATTTCACTATGTAGCTATGTCTGACCTGGAACTTGCTGTGTAGACCAAGCAGATCTTAAACTCAGAAATCTGTTTGCCTCTGCCTTCCAAGTACTGGGTTTAAAGGTGTAGGCAATTACCAAACGCAACTTGAAAATATTTCTACTTAAATAGGTTAACAACCTTTACTACATATTTGAGCCTGTGCTGGAGCCCTTCTTGGTTTTCAGCAGGCAAGCAATGTCAACCATAACTCTAGAAGGATCCTTTGTTAGGCTGATTTTATTCTTATTTATGTGTATGTGTAGGTATATACCTTGTGAGTGTAGATGTCCTGAGGCCATAAAAGGGCATCAGATACCCTGGAGCTGAGTTACAGAAGGTTTTGAGTCTCCTGATGTGAGGGCTAGAACCCAACTCAAGTCCCCTGGAAAAGCAGCAAGTGCTCTTAACCTCTGAGCCATCTCTCTAGCCCGTAAAAGGACTCTTTTCTTACTCAAGTCCCCATACTTTTTCCTCCTGCCTCAGTGGCATTAGAGGATTAGAAGTTCAAGGTCTCAAAGAAAAATTAAGCCAGGCAGTGATGGCACACGCCTTTAATCCCAGCACTCGGGAGGCAGAGACAGGTGGATCTCTGTGAGTTCGAGACCAGCCTGGTCTACAAGAGCTAGTTCCAGGACAGGCTCCAAAGCTACAGAGAAACCCTGTCTCGAAAAACAAAAAAAAAAAAAAAAAACAAAAAAAAAAAAAAAAAAAAAAAAAGAAGAAGAAAAAGAAAAAAGAAAAATTAAGTTTGCCCACAGTTCAGCCATCTGAGATTCTGAGATGAGTGCCTTACCCAGCTTTCGGCAGAGCAGCTTCCCACTGCTGAGGGCAGTGGTTAATGCAGAACCCCATAACTGGTTAGGAATAAAGGATGGTGGCCTGCTTAGCCGTAAATGGGACACAGCTATATTACCTCCTCCAAGGCTCAGGGAAAATTAAGGAAGGAGGGACAGAAAGAATGGGAGAGCCAGAGGATGTAGAGATGTCATTTAAAAGATGACATCAAAAAGATGTCTCCTAAGCCGGGCAGTGGTGGCGCACACCTTTAATCCTAGCACTTGGGAGGCAGAGGCAGGCGGATCTCTGTGAGTTTGAGGCCAGCCTGGTCTACAAGAGCTAGTTCCAGGACAGCCAGAGCTGTTACACAGAGAAACCCTGTGTTGAAAAACCAAAAATAATAAATGTGTGCACGTATGTATGTATGTCTCCTAAGCATGAATGGCATTGCAATTGCACTCATAACTGAAGCTGTGTTATAAAGTTGTGCACAGGACTGGCACAAAACTGAGCTCTTCAATAATTCACCATGAATGGGGGAAGGGCGTAAGAGGCCCCATTCTTTCTTCGAGGTAATTGATGGTTTGGGTGGCCGAAGGTGTAGTTTTCTTCAGTGGTACTGACATGAATAAACTGTCCTTGCTGCAGCAAATACTATTTCACCCGTGCCAAGAGAAGAAACTCTAGACTCTACATCTACTTTTGCCTCAAGGAACAAGGTGCCAGAGTGATTCAGGATGGTTCCACTGTCCACCTCTGGCCCTCACACATATGCGTATTCATATGTGTGCCTACACACATGCAAAACAATGCACACACGTGCAGCACATGTGCACACACACACAGACAAATGTAAAGACAGGAAGTGTTGTTTACCGTACATTTGACAGTTAATGAAGCCAGGGCTCAGAGGGACTCAGCAGCTTGACTGCCGGTGGTTACAGAACTGGAGGGGCACAGCAGTTACCCAACATGAAACCTATGGCTGGCCCCACCATCACTAAGATGCTTTCTTGCTACCAACTCTAATTTTTGGGAAGGCAGAGGCAAGTGGGTCTCTGGATTTCTAGGCCAGCCTGGTCTACAAGGTGAGTTCCAGGCCAGTCAGGGCTACACAGTGAGAATGAATATATATATATATATATATATATAAAGCCAACACCACCATACAGCATCAAAACAATAAAACAATACTCTTAAAACGTAGGAAGTTGTGCTGCCGGGCGCTGTTGGCACACCCCTTTAATCCCAGCACTCAGGAGGCAGGGGCAGAGGCAGGCCACTCCTGTTCCTCTTGCTTCTTTCTAGCCCAGTTTTACTACAGGAGTGCGCAAACATGCCTGGAGCACTCAGATGGTTTACCATTAAAAAAGTATCATTTTTGTAAACAAACAGAGCTAGGGACAGGACAGGGAAAAGAAAGTAAAATCCCATCGCATCCTCCCCTGCCCGAGGCGATCTCAATTTTCAAGATTTTTTTATCTTCCTCCCAACCTGGAGCGTCCAGAATCATAAACGCAAACATCCAACAGCCACTCTAGCCCAATTCAGAGGAATAACTCGTTAGCCTGGCAGGTTCACCCCTCTATCTCTGGGTGGGTTAACGAGATCAATGCTTGACCCGCTTCCGTTTATGGAGAGGCAGGCTCTCTTTCTCTCTCCGGGTTCTCTCAGATAGTCCTGCCTTTGGGCAGTCTCTTGTGCCTCCAGTACCCCTATCGGCCCTCCTTCTCCTCCCGATATGCCCCTCGGAGGACTCTACTACGCCTCGGGATGCTCCACAGATCCGCGCACTGGGAGCAAGGAGTTGTGACCGGATTTTCGGGCAAGGATGAGTCACTTCCGGTCACAGACTCCCTCCTCCGGAAGTAAGATCTGATGTAAACAGCGGAGCCGGGCACCAAAGCCCGGGAGGTCAGAAATTCGTGCGGCAGGCGGCACCAACAGCTAGGGTAGGGGTCGGGGAGGGGTGAAGATCAAGTCAGCAAAAGCAACGCGCAGCTGGAGCACGGTCCAAGGATTGGTCAGGGTCGCAGGGTGGGTGTTTCTACTAGAGGTCTTGACAGGTGGTGCATGGTTGGGGACAGGCGGCTGGAGTCGGTGCTGTCATGGAAAGGGAAAGGAACATGTCTTTTGAGAGAAGTTTAGGCATTTCAATTAGGATTCCAAGAGAGCCTTGGAAGCTAGTGCTATTCAGAGTATGGCTCGTGTAGAAGCAAGACCCAGGAGTTACAGCAGAAGTAGGTTTAAAGTCTTAGAGGGTGGGTAGGAGGTGTGTCTGGATAGAAGTCTTCGAGTAATGGGGTTTGACAAGAGACAGAGAAGCAGGCTGAAGTTTTCCCAGCTAGGTTTTTTGGGTGGCGTGTACTGGGAGAAGGGTCTTTAGAGAGTATCTGTGCCCTAGGGCAGCGTCTTCGGGAGACAACGTGGGAACAAAAGGGACACATTTTGGGGGGAAATGGGCTCATGAGAGTAGCTTTGGGTCACCTCAGTTAGGAGTCATGGGTAGAGAGTACAAGGAATGACACGTGTCAAGTGTGAAGAATTTAGAATGTCAAGGGAACACTAGGTGGGGGCTTCAGGAAATAAGTCCAGGGCTTGGAGGGAGTTTCCAGGCTTGCCTCGGTGATCAGAATTAGCAGTGTGAGAGACGGGTTTGGGAAATGTATTTCATGGAGGGTGTGAATGGGGTCCTGGGGGCAAATAAATGAGAGTTAGAAAGGCACGAGGGGAGGGGAGTTCTGTGGGTGATGGGCATTCATAGCAGTTCATGGAGATAGACGCTACCTGACAGGTGGATCTGGGTGCAGGTGTGAGGATGAGAAGCGTGTGGGAAGAGATTTGAGGTCATGTCAGGCATTAGAGCCAAGAATGGCTTGGAGGGAGTATGTATCATGGGCTATCCTCTACCCCATTACTTCCTAAGAGGTTCAGTAAGGGTTGGTGTTTATGGCACTTGTGAGTCTGTCATTGTCGGCCAAGATTCATTCTGCCTGTGGTCTTGGTTTGAACAGATACTCTGAGGTATACTCCGCTTGTTTTTGTTTTTTGCAGTCTGGCAAAGAAAAGTATCAAAATGGGGAGAAAGCCGGGCATGATGGCACACGCCTGTAATCCCACCACTCAGAAGGTGGAGGCTGGAGGATTGCTGGGAATTCAAGGCCAGCTTGTGCTACCTAGGGAGTACCAGGACAGCCAGGGCTACGTAGCAAGACCCTATCTCAAAACAAAATAGACAAAGTGACGAGGAAGAAGAAATCGTTCCGGGGACAGAAGTTGTAGGACTTGAGAGGACACTCGAGAACTCTTCGCAATGCTGTCATTTTTGTGCCTAGGGAAGCGGTCCTGCACCATGACTCAGCCGCCACTTCGAGGTGTGACCAGCCTTCATTTCAACCAAGACCAAAGTAAGCTTGTGATTGTATCTTTGTGGGAAGGATGGGAAAGAAGGGTCAGAGACGACTGTGAGCTCTAGAAGTTGGAGGCAGACAGATTCCTTTCATCCGCAGGCTGCTTTTGCTGTGCCATGGAGACAGGCGTACGTATCTATAATGTGGAGCCACTGATGGAGAAGGGGCATCTGGGTGAGTGGCAGTAGAGGTGGGACAGAGGGCAGAAAGGCTGATAGGGGCATTGGCATCTAACTCTAATGACACTCTCCTCCCTGTGCAGACCACGAGCAGGTAGGCAGCGTGGGCCTGGTAGAGATGCTGCACCGATCCAACCTGCTGGCCCTGGTAGGCGGTGGGAGCAGCCCCAAGTTCTCAGAGATCTCCGGTAAGTGCTTTCATTCCATACTTGACCCAGATTCCCCAAATTCCTTACTTCCCACATACACCCTGAGGCATGGGCAGATGACATTGTCAGCACCTGAGTCCCACAGTGAGGCACAGTTTGTAAGCTTGAAATGTTTGCTCTGTTATTTAGTGAGACAAGGCCTGACTATGTAGTTCTTTGTTGACAAGGCTGGTTTCAAATGCACAGAGTGCGGAGATGAAAGGTGTGCTCTACATATAGCTTTAGTCTTTTTCTTTAGGGAACATTTCTGGAGCTGGAGGTGTGGCTCTGTGGTAGAACAGTTGCCTGGTATACTCAAGGTCCTCAGTTCCATCCAAAACATTATAAAAACAGCAAAGCCAATTTTTTTCTCTTTTGTTTTTCAAGACAGGGTTTCTCTGTAGCTTTGGAGCCTGTCCTGGAGCTAGCTCTGTAGACCAGGCTGACCTCAAACTCGAGATCCGCCTGCCTCTATCTCCCGAGTGCTGGGATTACAGGCGTGTGCTACCACCACCCAGCCTAGCCTAATTGTTATTTTAAGCACTTTCCATACAAACATTAATTTGAAATAAGATCTGCTGTAGCCAAGTATGACCTTGATTTGATCTCTACCTCCCTAGTGCCAGGATTATAGGCTAACACCTTCACACCTGGCTTTACATACATTAGCTCATTTAATTCTGTAGGCTTTTCCTTCTTTTGGTTTTTAGAGATAGGTGCTCTATATAGCTCTGACTTTCTAGAACTCACTATGTAGACCAAGATGGATTCAAACTCACAGCCTCTGCCTGATGGGATTAAAGTTGTGCCCTACCATGCCCAACTACTTCTGTGTGGTAGGAAATACCATTAGCCCTTCTCCCCATTTTTGTTGTGCAATGGATGGAACCCAGAGCTTTGCACGTTTTGGCATTAAGCCACACCCCTAGCCTCGTTAGCCTCATTTTTACTGATGAAGACCCTGAGGCCCATTTAAGACCACATAATTAATAGGTTTCCAAATCTTGGAGTCATCTCTCCTACACCCTCCTGACTTGACCCTCCGGCACCACCTTGTTTTAAGTTTTTTTTTCTTGTTGATCCATGACTTGGCAAGAGGTATCACAGATGAGTCCCAGAACCCTAGAAGTCATCACAAAATCTCCTGAGGCTACAGACTGGATCCTGAAGACCTAAGTAATTACAGAGGAAAGTCGTGGGCCTGGGTCTGAATCCCTTAGCTCTTTGTTCTTGTGCCCTAAGGTCTTTAACCACACCCAGCTCATTTGAGCTTTGACTTCCTTATCTCCAAATGAGCTTAACTGTTCTAGAATGTGTTTTCTTTGGAATCTTGTCCCCCAAGTGTTCCTGCTGTGTGAGGCTCACATTGAAAATTTAGTGAAAGGTGAAGCTCCCCCAGAGGGGTAAGGCTGGGCCACGTCACAGTCACCTCTTAGTCTAAACCTTGGTCTCACCAATCCACCCCTCTGCTTCTCAGTGCTCATCTGGGACGACGCCCAAGAAGGCAAGGACTCCAAAGACAAACTGGTGCTGGAGTTTACTTTTACCAAGCCAGTGCTGGCTGTGCGCATGCGCTATGACAAGTGAGCTGGGTGAAGACTGGGGTGGGGGGCAGGAGGTTCCCATAGCAAGTAAGCGGGCCCCCTCCCCCACTCTGACAGTTTCCCTTTCCTCGTGGCCTGCTGTGTTTGTGATGTCTGCAGGATTGTGATAGTGCTGAGGAACCGCATCTATGTGTACTCCTTCCCGGACAATCCTCGAAAGCTGTTTGAGTTTGACACTCGGGACAACCCCAAGGGTGAGAGGACCCCGATATCCAGGTGTAAGGATATGGGGCTGTGAAAGAGGCCAGAAGGAGGCGATGAAAGAAGGGACATATACTCAGATGCTGGGGGAGAGGCTTTATGCAAGAGATGCAGCCCTTTTAGTCCGACCGTACCCTTACCCCGGTCCTGCCCCCACATGACAACATAAAACACCCAGTGAGGACGTGGGCAAGTGTATCAGCAAGCCCTGGGCCTCTGATGATTTCCTGGCAACTTCTTAGAGCCTTTTCAGACCATGGAGAGTGGAGCTTAATGCTAGCCTACCCGTGTGGGGTTGCTATGGGTAATATATCACAGAGGGCTAAAGTCTGGCCCTTACTTGTCCAGCTCTATCTATTCTGACACTCAGCTCTCCCATGGCCCCCTCTTCACCTGCCCATCCCTTCTTCATCCTCACAACTTAGGACTGTGCGACCTCTGCCCAAGCCTGGAGAAGCAACTGCTTGTGTTTCCTGGACACAAGTGTGGAAGTCTCCAACTTGTGGTGAGAGTGGGCAAGGGCGGAGAGAGAGGTGGGTGGACTGTCTCTCTTGGTGAACTTGTGGTCCCTTTCGTCCATGTCACCCCAAGCCCAAACTGTCCCCTCCTCCAGGATCTGGCAAGCACCAAGCCTGGTACTTCCTCAGCTCCATTCACCATTAATGCACATCAGAGTGATGTGGCCTGTGTGTCCCTGAACCAGCCAGGCACTGTGGTGGCATCGGCCTCCCAGAAGGGTACCCTTATTCGTCTCTTTGACACCCAGTCCAAGGAAAAATTGGTGGAGCTTCGAAGAGGCACTGACCCTGCCACCCTGTACTGGTGAGCGCAGTGTATGTGTGGTGGGCTGGTGGTTTTAACAGCACAAGCCCTCGGAAGTCAGCATGTTGGGCATCATTGTTGTTCTCTCTTGCAGCATTAACTTCAGCCACGACTCCTCCTTCCTCTGTGCTTCCAGTGACAAGGGCACTGTCCATATCTTTGCTCTTAAAGACACCCGCCTCAACCGCCGCTCTGCGTGAGTATCTTTGCTCTATCCTGTGTTGTCCCAATCCCCCTGGCCATGTGCCCTACCTAGGCTTACCAAATGCTGCCTACAGGCTGGCTCGTGTGGGCAAGGTCGGGCCTATGATTGGGCAGTACGTGGATTCCCAGTGGAGCCTGGCCAGCTTTACCGTGCCTGCCGAGTCAGCATGCATCTGCGCCTTTGGTCGGAACACTTCCAAGAATGTCAACTCTGTAATTGGTGAGTGACAGTCGGCCCCCTTGGCTTGGGGTACTACATAGGCAAAGGATGGCAGGTTGAATTGAAAAGAATGTAAGGGTTTTCCGGAGCTGGAGGAAACTGGAATGTATGGCCCAGCCTCAGAGTTAATAAGGGAGGTGGCACTTGGGCAAAAGCCTGGAGTTAGCCCATGCATGAGCCGTGGTGGGACATGAGGGGACTGGAGTATGTGGCTGGGGCATCTCCTAACCTTTCCTAACACCTCAACCTTCTAGCCATCTGCGTAGACGGGACCTTCCACAAATACGTCTTCACGCCTGATGGGAACTGCAACCGAGAGGCCTTTGACGTGTACCTTGATATATGTGACGACGATGACTTTTAAGAGCCCTGGCAGCTACACTAGAAACCTGCGGTAGCAGGCCAATCTGAGTCTTGAGGGTGTTGAAGCAGCCAGCAAGTATCAAGGAGGCTTCCCACTCTCCACTCAAGCACAGCTGTATCTAAATAAACAGCTCACTCCCCCGCCCAGCACTTTTTTGTGAGTGTACAGAAAGCCAAGGACAGATTGCCTGGGCCACCCAGTCTGGAAAACACTCACAGGGACCCTAAGGGATTGTTGTAATTCAACCAGGGAATTTAAAAAAAGGTTACCAGAAGAGATAGCCTCTGTGATGTATATCAATAAAAGGCTTTTAAATAGCATTTATGACTTGACCTCAAAGGGGCGGCATACTTTTCCAGGAGCTGTGTGACCTAGGCTCCTGACAGGAAGTAAGTGGAACCCAGCTTGGGACTTGACTTCCTATTCTTATTAGTCCGCTCAGCGTTGACAAACTCAACGCACAGCTTGCCCAGTCCGGCGTGGTGCCCCGCCCAGGGATGAAGAGAAGTTCGAGTTTTGAGCTTCTGCGCCGCGTGGCGAAGCTTGGTTTCCCAGCAGTCTCTGCTACTATAGTTGGTGGTTTCTGGCCACGTTCATGGCTGCAGCTGCGCAGTAGCCTACGTTGCTAGTCATCGCCCCGCTAGCCTCTATTTCCCAATGTGCCTCGCGGTGCCGCGAGGGGTAACGGATGTTGTAGTCTCGTCGCCTTTCGGGCTGGTCCAGCAACCCGCAGGATGTCGGAGGTGCGGCTGCCACCGCTGCGCGCCTTAGACGACTTTGTTTTGGGGTCTGCACGTCTGGCGGCTCCTGATCCAGGCGATCCACAACGATGGTGTCACCGCGTCATCAACAATCTCCTCTACTACCAAACCAATTACCTTCTCTGCTTCGGCATCAGTCTCGCTCTGGCCGGGTGAGGGAGGGAGGTGGTGATTGGCTGAAGACACTAGCGGGAAGTAGGGTGGACTTGCGGGTCTTTGAGAATGAGAAGAGGGGAACGTAAGGGGAAATACTAGGCTGGGAAGGGCGAATTCAGTAGAAAAGGAAGGTCTGAGGGGCATGAATGGAAGGATTTGAAGGAGGCAGGTCTTTGTTATAAGGAGGGTTGGGGGTGGGGGTGGGTGAAGGAAGACCTGGGTAGGAAAAGGGGGGAGGGGGGACTGAAGAGGAATGTGGGCTAGGAGGTGGCCCCGGATTTAAAGGCCTGATATGGAGGATGAAAGAGTAGTGAAGAGGTTCAGTGATGTGAATGATGGGGCAGATTGGGGAGCCCTGGAGGGTTTAATACAGAGGTGGGGGTGTAGTAAAGGGTTTGGAAGGTTAGTTTATAGAAAACCTCCTCATATTGGGCCCAGAGTGACGATCCAGTGTTGCGAAGCTGGACGCCAAAGACGGACAATCTAGAAGAGGGCTTGAGCAGGGTGGTAAGACTGGGACTTACACCAAGGATGGGTTCAAGCAACTGTGGGAGGATTGCTTGAACCCTCTATATAAAAATGGGGTAGTGGAGAACCTTTTGAAGGAAATGAAAGCTGGAAAGTGCCCAGCCTGCAAGGAGAAATGCATGTATTGACTGAAGGCCTTGGCGAGGGATCTGCAAGGGTTAAGGTCACAGAAGAATGTGGGAGCGGACCTGGGAATGCTAGAAAGAAACCCTGCAGGTCTAAAGTCAAAGACCGGAGAAGTGCTGGGAACCCAGGACCTCTGGCAGGACGTGGGGACCCTATAGGACTGTAGTACCAAGGAATCTAGAGTTCCCAGGAACCCCTGGAGGCTGGACTTATTGGAGACGGGCCTGGTGAGGCTATCTGCCGAGATGCCGATTCTGGAAACAGGAAACAAACTCCTGGGGTCCAGAATCGGGTGGATGGTGAAGCTAGCTGAGTGCCCTTGTTCCTGCAGGTACATTCGTCCACTGCACACCCTCCTGAGTGCACTGGTAGTGGTGGTGGCCCTCGGTGTGCTAGTGTGGGCTGCTGAAACCCGTGCAGCTGTGCGCCGCTGCCGTCGCAGCCACCCTGCTGCCTGCCTGGCTGCAGTGCTTGCCATAAGCCTCCTCATTCTCTGGGCCGTGGGCGGCGCTTTCACCTTCCTGCTCTGCATCACAACCCCGGTGCTTTGTGAGTCTCTACTCTCCCCTTCTTAGCTGGGAAAATGGACTGCTCATGCTTGAACACTAGGCCTGCCCTGCACTGGTTCCTGGGCTAGGAGGGGACTGGAAACCCTGGAGGATATACATGCCTCCATTAAATGTCTTCCTGAGCATCTCTCTTTATTACCTTTTTGGGTTTCCCCGTGTTAAGTGCCTTAAACTGTCCAAGTCCTGATTAACTGGGATGTTCTTCCTGGCCACATCTCCCATAGCAGGCTAGCCTGCCTCTGGGTAAATTCCCCATTGTGGGCTGCAAGCTAAGGCCCCTGACCCTCTCTTGGTATTGCCCACAGTGATCCTGCTGCATGCCTCACTGCGCCTGAGAAACCTTAAAAACAAGATTGAGAACAAGATCGAGAGCATTGGTCTAAAGCGGACGCCAATGGGGCTGCTCCTAGAGGCACTGGGACAAGAGCAGGAAGCTGGATCCTAGGACCCTGGCATCTACATCCTGGATCTAGACGGCCCCCAACCCCATACCCAAGATGGACCCTTTTCTCAGCCATTAAAATAGGAGCCTAGAGCCCTCTGGCCTGCAAAAAATAAAAGACACCTCTGACTGCTTACTCCAACCCCAAACTAGTCATCTCTTACCCTCCAGCCCCTGTTACCTAGGGACTAAAATCTTCAGTCCTGAGTTTGAGACTCAGTAACCTACATCGAGCCTTGAAACTGGGTTTTTTAAGCCAGAGCATCCATAACCAATCTCAAAACTGGACCAAGAGATACTCCCCTAACCCAAATCTGAGACTGGTCTTCCATACTTCAAAGCCAGGGCTTGGGGTAGGACATTCTCCACTCTTGAGCTCTATCTAAACTAAGGGTTTATCAGACCCTCCCCCCATCTGGCTTGGAACCCAGGTTAAGACATAGCCAAATCTTGAGCTTGAATCCCAAGTGTCCTCAGTCCTCACCCCATTGAACCCAGATGACCCTAACCCTCAGCAGACCCAATAGCCTCCCTCCAACTCTATTGAGAGGTTTTCTCCCTCCCCCACAATGTTCCTAGTATTGAGGACCAAGGTATGGGGCTAGCTAGCAATAGCCCCAGCTGGGAATGGAGCACATGTATTAGTGTTCCTGCAACAATAAAGCCGTGAATCTCAAGCTTGTTTGGCCTCCTGTGTGAAGTTCTTGAACCTTTCAATGAACAACCCAGTGGCTGTCTTCAGTTCTGCTGGACCATACCTGACTGGTTTAAGTATTTGTGCTGAAAAGGTGACTACTATGGCCCTCAAACCTGCTGCCTCTGAGTTAGCATTAATTAAAACACAGGGATGTTGAAATGTGTAGTATCGTTTTGGATATTCTCTTCTTATAAGTGGACTAGGAATATAAGTGCAGGGAGTCAAAGAAGCTGCCCCATCTCACAAAGCAAATGAAGTCAACACATGGCAGCTGGACATAGTGACGCCAGGAACCCCAGCAGTGGGGAGGCTGAGGCAAGGGGACTATGAGTTGTGGTCAGGCCTGGCTACATACAATCTAGCTCAAGAAAACAAAACACATGACAGTATTGTAAGCTATTTCCAGTGTTTTTTCTCCCCATAAAAATATTTTGTTTTCTGACTGGCCGTGGTTGTACATGCCCTTTATTCCAGTATAGATGGATCTCTGAGTACAAGGCCAATGTGGTCTACAAGTGAGTCCCAGGGCAGCCAGGGTTACCCAGTGGGTCCCTGTCCTGTCTCATAAATATATACTTATAATCTGGTCTTAACTAGAAGTGTGGGTTCCTGTGATGAAGCAGACAAAGAAGCAATCCAGGGGTTCAGTTTATACATTTATTATAGAAATCCCCTTCCAGTGTGAGTAGTGTCTTGGGCCCAGATCCATTGATACAAAAAGAAAATTTAACACCAGGTAAAGGGGGTAGGGGAACCCCCAGTTCCAGAAAGTCACACACAATATAGAAAACACAGCTTATGTGGATTTGTTTAAAAAGTGGTAAATAGAGGAATGTCAAGGAGGACATGATGTGGCCTGTGGCCCATGGCCAGATGTCACCTGAGGGTTTTGCTGGCATCGACCAGTTGCCAGGTTTAACCACTGCAGCATCCCAGGATGTGACATACTCAAATGGCTCTGCTTCTTGACAAACTCTGTACAGCCTCCTGACTGGGAGAGGTCAGCAGAGGCCACGGGCAGAGACAGAGACAACAGCTCCTTCAGGCAACCCCACCTAGACTTCCGTCCTTCCAAATGTGGACAGGAGCCCAACTGTCCAAGAAGTCTGGTGGGAGGAGGCAGGGAGTTCTGTTCACAGGGGTCTCTTAACCCCCGAGACTCTATATATGGTCCATTTTGTTGAGGAGGGGTGGTGGCTCCTGAATGGAACAGGCTGGGCATAGGGACAGGAATGAACCCAACCAGGAATGAGCTCACAGTTTCCCTTTTATAAAACACCTAGTGTTGGGCAAAGACAGTGAATACTAAATCACAACTGTAAACAGAAATGGAGGAAGGGGCAGAGTCCCCAAACCATTATCCCCCTCTTTGAAGCTAGCTGGGGCCCTCCAGTCCCCCAGCACAGGATGAGAAGAGATGCAGGTGTATCAGACATCCTTCTGGGCCCCAAAGAAGCCAGGGGTTCTGTGAGATCAAGCAGTTGTCCCTCAGAACCAAGAACAACCACATCCCAGGACTCAGTGAGGTTGACTGTATGTTCCCCAGACTGGAGTATGTCCAGACCAACAAGGGGCTTATCAGGAAGGGTCAGACCAATGTCCCTGGGGTCTGGGGATCAGAACTGGAAGACTGGTCCCCCTCTAGCGTCAGGTCACTTAAACGAGCGCTCAGCTCCGGGGGATACAGGAAGTCCGTGTAGTATCTTTAGAAAGGACAGCAGGAATCCGGAAGACAGGGAAGGGAAGGGAAGAGAGGAAGAGACAGACAGGACACACACAGAGAGAGGAAAAGAGGCTTGTTAAAGAGGTGGAGACAGGCACAGGACAGCACCTTCAGGCTCTTAAGCATGGGGTATGGAGTTTAGAAGAGAAAGCCATGGAGCACGTATGTCCCTTCTTCCCAGCACCCTGACTTCAAGGCTCACTGCCAGCTGTCATGTACTAGGGAGAATAGAAAAATCCTTCTAAAGCTTGGGAAAGAACTCCTGCTACCAACATCCAAGATCCCCCTCACCAGGACCCTAAGGACTAATGCAGGTCATGTCTGATAAAGTGACCCCATGCCAAGCCCGCAGCTAGTTTCCTTGTGGTCCCACTCATCAGCTATCTTGACAAAGTGCTCCCTGGTCAGGATACATTCAGCATCTGAATCAATACCCTTACCCATCAGCAAAAGCACCCCCATACCTGCCGGAGACAGGGGGTGCTGTGAAACTCCTCGAGTGCGGGAGCGGTGCCTGGCTGGGAGGACCATATAGTGCCTGGCCCACTTCATAGCAGCGGGCATGGAGGAAGGGTGCGTGTGTTGGGCCCACATGTGGGAGCATAGGCCTGCGCTGGGGCCCCATGGCCAGTCCCGAATTCCGGATGTACCAGTCCCGGAGCCCCTCCAGGGCAAGGTTCTTATGGCCACCTCGCTCACTAGCTGGAGGTAGCCGGGTGGGTGGCGGCATCCAGAGTAATGGATTTGGATGCACTTCCAGACCCTCCACAGCTTCTGGGGGCAGGCCACAGGGCTTGGAACGAATGGCACGGGTGTTGGGGTCTTTGCTGCGGAGAAGGGGGCTGCTGCCATCAGCTGCATATATGGGTGGAGGACCAGGGAGCATGGCAAGGAGCCCATCTCTGCGGGAAAGGGGTCCCGGGACTTCAGGAGCAGGCAGCAAATCCCCCCAACCTGCCCCACCAGCACCACGGGGCAAGCCCCGGTCCAATGAATAGTCCAAGAGGAAGTCTCCACACACAGGTGGGAGTCTGGGGGGTCCACGGGATGCAGGGGCAGCTGAGCTAGGTCGGGCAGCCCGAGGAGGGTCTGGGGGACCAGCGGTGCGGGAGGAGAAGGCAGGGACTGGTTGGGGGCGCTCATACAGCACCTCACTGCTCTTGCAGACTGGGGGACCAGCAGCAGGGGGAGCCAGGGGAGCAGGTGGAGATCCTGCTCCTCCAGCAGCTGCCCGGTCCACCAGCAGGGCCTCAGAACTATTGCTGCGGCGGGTGCGAGCTGCGAAGAGGGAGGCCCGATCCGAAGCAGGGTCCGGCCGAGGAAAGCCCATCTGGGAGTCCTGACTACCCGACCACTGGCGAGAATGGAGGCCTTCGGGTCTGGAGAACAGAGGTGCCGTAAGAAGAGCAGGGTCAGAAAAAGAAGACAAATGACGAGTGCCCTGACTGCCCCATCTCTTTCTGAGCCTTCACTATCTCTAAAATAGGATCAATATTCGAAGTCGTGTGCATGTAGCTGCTAAGCACTGTGTGTAAGGGCCACTGAGATTTGGCCCCAGACGGGAAACCAGAGGGTAGGGCATGGAATGCTCACCGGGGATAGGGCCCCAAGCTCTTAGGGTAAATGTTTCTGGGAATGGGAAGTAAGTGCTAGCTAAGGAAGGACATACACAGGCACGCTCCTGTTGCCACAGCTCCTATTCTCCTGTTAAGGCTATTCTCATGACTCCTTTCTACCTCCCGAAGGAAGCCCTAGGCCTTATGACTGGAACCAAAGGCCTTCTGAACTCTATCTAACCCACCAGGTCTGTGAACCAGCCCCAAACAACTGTCCCACCATGCACAGAAGCATGCCCCCAAAAGACAGGGATTCTGTTCACAGCATGGGAAAAGTAGGCATTTAAGGACTTAAGGAACATTACAATTTAGCGTGTCACGGCTGACTAGTTTAAAATTTTGCATGGGCTCCAACTTCAGAACTATGGTTTACTCACAAGTTACTTAATTAACCTTTCTGTGCCTCAGTTTCCACACCTATAAAATGCAAATAATAGCACCTCCTCAGGGGGACCTTAGGATGACAAAGGAGTTGCTATCCACCACAAATGCTACCGATTATTAGCAGAAAGTAGGCATTTGATACATGCTACCCAACATGCATTGTACCTGTGTCTTTCAAAGGCAGATAGTACACTCACTTCACAAACGAGGAAGGAAAGATTCAGAGAAAGAAAATGACTTATCCCCAAAAATGCAGGAAAGCCCATACTCAATCTCTCACGCCTCTGCCTCCAATTCCCACACCAGCTTCTAGCCACCTTTCAAAGCCCAGCTGCCCATGTCCCACATCTTTTGGAAATTCCTAGTCAACATCTACAGTTCGAACTAAAGGTTTCCTCCTCTGATACTCAGACCCACCCTCAAGAGTCCCCTTACTTGCAGAGCCGGGGGCCAGTGCCCCGGGTGAGGACAGGGGTGGCAGGCACACTTCGCCCCTCAAAACTGGAGGCACTCCTGGGCAGCGAGCGGGTGGGGCTAGACAGAGATGGCAGGCCCACATCGGGACCCAGGTTAGAAACCGCACTCACCAGTAGGCCCTCCTGCCAGCCCAGGCTCAGGATCCCACTCCTAGTCCCAGGAAAGGAGGAAAAGGTTCCTCTTTACCTGGTGGGGCTGGCCACAGAGTTGCGCCGGCTCTTCAGGTCCCCATAAATATCTGAAGGGGGAGGTTTCCATGGGGCTCGCCGCTCAGGACTCCCCCCGGATACTGCCCGAAACTGGTCCCAGGCCTTTGGTGGTGAGGGGCGCTCAGTTAGAGAGTAGCAGCTATGAGGGTCCTCTGGGTAGAAGGGAAAATAGGGTAGAATTCAATGAGAGAGGGCCTGGAAGGAGCAGGGCAGGTTTAAGGGGGGGAGGGACCAACAAGCTAAGAGAGGAAGCAAGGAAAATGTAGAGGCTGGTCTGTAAGTTCTAGAGCAGAGGAGGCAGAGACAGGTGAAAATAAGGGCACATGGGAGTATGGGGCGTGGCTAAGGAAGAGCTAAAGTAGGAAGGGCTGAATCAACAGATATTCTGAGAGGACACACGGAAGGGGGACAGTTCTCACCATTATCGTGGCTGGCCCCTGACTCTGAGAGGGAGCTGCTCTCCGAGTGCAGAACTACATCCTCTACAGGGGAGGAAGGGAAAAGCAGCCTGTCACTCCAAGGTCTGAATTCCATCCCCTGTACCTCTGGATAGCATCTCTGTGTGCACTGCCTTCTGCTACCTGATTCTGGCACCTCTCCAAGAAGAATCCATCTTTGCCAGACACACAAACCTATAATTCCAGCTACCTAAGAGGCTTTATGATGCAGTGTGTGTGTGTGTGTGTGTGTGTGTGTGTGTGTGTGTGTGTGTGATAAGTTCAAGGCTGGTCTGGAATACGAAATGAGTTCAAGACCAGAAGACCAGCCTGGGCAACTTACCAAAATCCTGTCTCAAAATAAAAAGCAAAAACAAAACAAGGGAGCTGAGCAGTGCTGCCACACGCCTTTAATCCCATCACTCTGGAGGCAGAGGCAAGCAGATCTCTGTGAATTCGAGGCCAGCCTGGTTTACAGAGTGATTTCCAGGACAGCCAGAGCTACACGGAGAAACCCTGTCTTGAAAAAAAAAAATTAAAACCAAAACACAAAACAATGTGCTGGAGAGATGGCTTAATGGTTAAGAACACTTGCTACCCTTGCAGAGGACCTGGGTTCGGTTCCTACTCCAGGCACTTCACAACAGTCTCTAACTCTAGTTCCAAGGGTTCCAAAGCCGCTAGCTTCCACAAATGCCTGTATGCATGTGGTAAATGTAAACTCACACAGGAACATATACATGCAAGTAAAAACGAATAAATATTTTTAAAATAAAAACAAAAGCCAGGCAGTAGTGGTGCGCACCTTTAGTCCCAGCATTTGGGAGGCAGAAGCAGGCAGATCTCTGAGTTGAGGTCAGCCTGGTCTATAGAGCATTACAGGACAGTCAGGACTGTTACACAGAGAAACCCTGTCAAGAAAAAACTAACTAACTAAATAATAAAAATAAAGAAGAGGACTGGGGATGTAGCTCCATCGTAGAATGATTTTCTAGAATGTTGATCGGCCTAGGTTCAACGTTTACCTGAATCCAAAACTACCATGAACTTGAGTATTCATCTTCCTGTTGCTTACTGTTCAAGTCCTCTCTGAACCTCAAGTCAGGTTATTACAATTCTCCTTGATGGGATTTCCCCCTGTAAGTCCTGCTCACCTCTCTGCCTTCAATGGCTGTTCAGCCACTCCACCACTCCTATATGCATAAGCCACAGTCCATTCTCAGGGTCATTTCCCCACTCACTGGAGGGATGTGGGACCTGGCTTACCTTGGCTGAGCTGAGCAAGGCGTGTGCCCAGGCAGACACCCTGGGCATTGACTAGTGCTCCTGCGGATAGTGGCAGCACCGGGAGGCCAAGGCGGGCCCGGAAGTCCCTGAGCTGCTCCTCCAGCTCATGCAGCCTCCGCAGGGCATCTACCTGCACCTGGCGCCGGCGCCGCCTCTGCTCTCCAGTAAGATCAGGGGCCAGGGCCAGGCGGCGGGCAGCAGCTGCAATCTGCTGCTGGACGGATACCTCACGCTCCAGGGCCTCAAGAGCCAGCTCCTGCACAAGCCAAGAGGGGTGGAACAGAGCTAAATCATAGAAATGACTACCCAAGTAGCGGGAAGTTGGCAGAGCCCATCTATACTGGACATGGGGCCTGTTCTTCCTGGGGGAGTCTGTTTGCCTCAAGGGACAGGATGAGGAGGTGGGCCTATGTATCTTCTAAAGATAGGAAGCTTGTCTTGACAAAGTTGGGGGTCCCATACTGCACAGGGAACCCACCTGTTCAAACTCTTTCCCTTCTTAGCTCCTCCCACTCCTGGCCATACCCCTCGTTCTGCCCTTCTTTGCCCCTGCCCCTCACCAGCACCATCCTGCTCCCCACACCCAACTGCTTACCTCAGCAGGACACAAGGAGTGGTGTACTGGGTTTGGGTGTGGTGGAGGGTAGGCACGTGCTGCAGGGGGCCTCCGGCGTACCAACTGAAGGCATTCACCAGGCTCCAGGGGGCACTCAGGGGGCAGCTGGCCAGTTAGCTCCTGGAGGGGACGGGGACAGAAACTACAAGGGTTAGTTGGAGAGATGACATAAAGTAGTAAGGGTACAAGAAACTACATCTCCCAAGGAGACTGGCCTTGCCCAATACTCCACATAGGTTAGGTTCCTTCTCTCAAGATCTCTACCACCAGGGTAGAAGTGTGGCCCCCAAGTCTCTCAGTGGCTCCAAAAAAATCTCTGGGCCATTGAATATCTTGGAAATCTGGAGCCCAGAGTTCTTAGTTTTTATAATTAGAAAAGCCCAGTCTATATGCTGCACATATGACACAGGGGCTGGTCTTCTGGATCCCATTAGAGTGCGTGTGTGTGTGTGCATGAGTGCGTGCGTGTGCGTGCCTGTAGCTGTACATATGTGTAGGCCAGAGGCCAATCTTGAATGTTGTTACTCAGGATACTATCTACTTTTTTTGAGACAAGGTTTCTTTCTCACTGGCTTGGGACTTGCTGATTAGGCTAGCCTGGTTAGTCAGAACGCCCCAGGAAAGTCATCTGGTCTCCGCTTCTCCAGCACTAGGGTTACGAGTGCTGGTCACCACACCCGGCTATTCTTTTTCCATAGTCTCTGAGGGTTGGACTCAGGCCCTTATGCTTACATGGTCAACTGAGCAAATTCCCCATCCCCTGAACCCTATTATTCCTTCAGGAAAAGCGCGTGGACACTCACACTGAGAAGGGTAAATCAGAGCTATAGCCAGCTGTGGTAGATCATGCCTAGAATTCCAGTTCTTGGGAGGCTAAGGCATGAGCTAGAGACTACCCTAGGCTACAGGGAGAGTTCTAGGTCAGCCTGGGCTACAGAGTGAGACCCTGTCTCGGAAAACAGATGAATGGATGGATAGATGGGCTAGTGGAGGGAAGGGAACAATAATTCACCCTGCGTCAGTTCAGGATGAACTCTGGGGCCCAATTTTGGAAATAGTTTTCACTTTGGGGAGGGGAGGTTTAAAATTATTCAAAACTGACTATGGACCAGCATTGGCACATTTCATTGATACTGTGCCATCTAAGTCAAACTTTGAGGACACACAGGGTGACAAGAAAACTCCTAACTCCCAGACAATTGGTTGGGCACCCATCACGGTAGTCTGCCTGCCTAGACACCCTGGCTCCTCACTCCATCCGGGGGGGGGGGGGCGGGGGCCCGGGGGGCGGGGGGGGGGCCTCACCGCCTCCTGCAGACAGACTTTCCTGAGCTCTTGAAGCTTCAGGCTCAGGGCCTCTTGCAGGGCCCGCTGGCGGTCAAGCAGCCCTCGAAGACGCTCTGACTTCACCTGGGGGGCAGCCTCTCCAAACAGGGCAGCTGCATAGGGGGAGGGAGCAAAGATCAAGACAACTAGGACATCTTGGAGCAACTGTGGGGACAGGGACCAACCCTTCCCAAGCAGGCACATGGAGACTCAGGGTAGAGAGGGGACAGCAGGAAGTGGAGGCTGCCACTAACCTGGGGCATTGAAGGTAGGGGAGCTGATCAGCTGACCTTTGACTTCCATCCTTGTACTGTCTGGAGGCTGTGGCTGGTGGCTGGACAAAGCCTGGCAGTGACACAGCACAGAAGGCATTAAGGAGGCATATCCCACGACACCCCCAGTCCCAAGGCCGGTCCTACTTCCCATCTTCCAGCTAGGAATAGAAAGTACCCCGGGCCCCACTCACCTACCTGGCCTGCCCACTCAGAGTCTGTGTCAATGTCTGGACCCACTTGGCCTGGTACCTTGGTTCCCTTCCCATTGAGTGCTGACACAGTAAGTGGGAAGCTGGGCAGACTTACGATGCCTCCTCAGAGGCCCATAGGCCACAGCCAGGAGTCTCACCTAGGGAGAAAATTAACGGTACAGGTTCAATTGAGTATATCATCAGTAGGCACGTATTCAGCCTTGGGTGCCTGGAACAGTTACCTGCTCTGTCACAATGAATCTTTGAAACCCCTCAGGCAGGAGCTTCGTCATTATTACCTTTCCTTAGGAGATGAGGGGTAGAAAGCACAGAGGTGAAATAACTGCCCAGTAAAGGGCTTCACATAGGACAACCCCTCTGGTTCTGTACAATTCCTCAAGACAGCAGCTCCAATCCTGTCATTTGCCTCTTGAGCTCCTTGGTCTATCCATCAGGCAAAAGGGCCTTTGCCCAGGCTGTGGCCACAGTCTAGGGCATTGGTTCCAGCCTCTCACCACCAGAACCTTGCTTCTCACTTATTTTGGAGCTATTTGAGTTTTAGCACATAGTCTCACTCTGTAGACTAGGCGAGCCTGAAAGTAACTGTGTTCAAGCTGGTCTTGAACTCACAGCGATCCTCCTGCCTCAGCCTGCCACATGCTGGGATTACAGACAGGCACTACCATGCCCAGTTCATTCCGGAGCTTAGCTGCCGCTTTCAGAGGTGGTTCCTGAGTGCTGCCCTCTCCCAGCTGCTGCTGAACAAGAGCTTGTGTCTCCCTGTACTGCCATTTGGACAGGGAGCAGGTCTGCCCCAGGGAATCAGTAGCTCCAGCACCCCAAATGCTGCTGCACACAGCAAGTAGCCCACAAATGTACACCAGCTGGCTTAACAAGTAGCCAAGTGAACAAACGCAAGAGAGCCGAGCCAGGTATCCAAACCGATCTGGCTCTGTACATGTTCTAACCCTGCTGCCCTGATGTAGCAAGGAGTGCCCCTTGACCTCAGCGTCCCTCCAGCTCCTCTTCCCTCCCACCCTCTTCTGAAACTAGCACAGAAGTTATCCTGCTGGGGTGGGTGAGAAGAGCCATCCACAGCCATAGATAACCCATTATCTGCCTTTTTCAGTCCATAGAAGCCCTGGATGACCATGGAGCCTGCTTTGGCTAGCTGCCAGCCCTCCTTCTGCTTCTTTGGAGTTTGCTCCCTCCCTCCCTCCCACATCCTGCTCGGTCCCCAGCTGGGCAACCAGGTGACATCACCTCCCACCACCTGTGCTAACCTCCAAGGTAGGTAACTGGGAAGGCCTAATGGAGACAGCAGAGTTCCCATTTTAACCTACCTTGAATTTTACAGTTTGTCATGATGTTCTAGAAAAGACCTAGACAAGCAAGGAAGCCTGTCTCTAAGCTCCTTCCCCACATTCACACTGTGGGGTATAATCAAACTGCCTACAAGGTCCCCCCAGTTTATCTGTCTTCTTTCTGGCTGTCCAACAGGGTCTGTGACCCTCCCTCAAAGGACTCATGTACTATCCTCCACATCAACGTGAGACAGTCCCCAAATCCAGACACTACGCAGTGCAGAGGTTCTCACAAGCCCACCCATCTGAGGTTCAGTATGGCAGGGGTTCTTTGATGTCCCATCTCCGCTTCCTCTGTTCCTCAGCTCCTAGAACTCCTACTTTTCCCAGGACCCATTTTAGTTTGGAAAACTTTTCACAAGGCTGGCCTGAACCCCTTTCCACCCCAACAGAAACCCAACTCCCCTGACCTTTGGTCCATTCACCCTGTTCGCCAACATCAGTCGCATGCTCCTCATTAGAGTGCCTCAATCCTTCCTTCTTTAGGAAATCAGAGCATCGTGGACGTCAACACAGGGTCCAGACAGGAACCCCAACTCCACCCTGTCAGCCTGACCTCAGGGACATAGCTAGGGCATGAGTCATTGGGTCACTGGGCAGGCTAGACACGGGTCAACGCCCCACACCTCCATACCTGACTCAGGAACCTTTGCTTCTACTCTGCTGTGCTTTGCACACTTGCCTTGGGACTTAGGGCTGCCTCCCACCAAGATAAGATAGTAAGAAAGCAGTCCCCGCCACTCCTGCGTCACTGGTGCACCCTCACGCAGGCCTCCGAGACCCTCCTGTCCGCCCCAGGGCCTTGTTTTGTCATTCTGTGTCCTGTTGCTGGGACAGACTGTAGCAAGAGAGTCACAGAGGGCACATGTGGGGACACACACACACACACACACACACACACACATTCAGAGGCAGGCCCAGCAGGTTTTTCAGGTCTGCCCTTCTGACACCATAGCTGAGAAAAATTCCTGGCTGTAATGACTGTTTACAACCAAGATACTTCACCTGGGTGGCACTCCAACCCTGTCAATGAGAGCCCCGAGTTCCACATCCTGCCACCACTTGAACAAATACACACGCAAAGTCTGGACTGCTCCCCAGTGCTCCCCCAAATACACAGCACACCCCTTCCATCACTCTGGGTGAACAAATAGAGGGAGGAACAGAAGCCTGAACAGCATGGTCTCTAAATAGTTCAGTTGGCCTTTTCTGAGGCACTAGCCCTGATAAAGAGGCCATTCTGAAGGCGAGAGGGATGGGGCAGAGAAGAGGGGGCTGAGTCCCTTTGCTCCATCCCTCTTCCTCCATTTCCAACCCCAAATTGCTCCCTATCAAGAAAGGAGAATAGGCATGTGGAAATTTGCCCTGCTCCCCGGCTCCTCCTAAACCGAACATTGCCCCTCCTATCACAACCCTTTATTGTCGACGGACTTCTCCCGCCTTACCAGGCTCTCTGAAAGATCACTTCAGTACGTTGCAACCCAGCCCTCAATCCCTGCGCCTTCACGGTCTCACACCCCTGGCCCATTGCTCCAAGGTACTCACCAATGCCAGAGTGCTATATGACAGCCTCGAATAGCTCAAAAAGCACTGTTGTCTCATCCGGGCCCTAGCTCTCCTGGCAGTAGAAGTGAACGGCAGTGACTGCTGCCTTGGCTGCCTCCCACTAGGTAAAGGCCCAGCCTACCTGGACAGGAACTGGGCTGGCCCATACCTTTTAACCCTTACCTGCCGGTTTCCAGGGCTAGGGCCACTCCTGGGAAAACAGTCTCAGGGACCAGGTGCCTCACTCAGGGTGCCCGGCAGGGCCAAGAAGAAAGCATAGAACTCTTTCCTCACTGCAGACAGACACCTAAGGAAAAACTGGGGAAGAAGTGCTAAGAACTGTTGGAGCAGCCACTGCTTCTCCTGCCTCTCCTGCTGCCGAGATCCCCAGGCCTATACAAAGGGAATGGGGGCTAGGAAGCTGTAAGATACAGATACACACACACACACACACACACACACACACACACACACACACACCTGGTCTTTTACTCTGAGCAGAGTGTATTACCTCTCCAGACTCTTAGCCTTCCCTCCCAGAGCAATGCAGGGATAAGAGAAGGTCTTGGGGAAAATTTTTCCCATAATTAGGTTAATGGTTTTCTAAGCTGTAGAGAGAAGTTAATGGGGTTTCTCTGTGTGGCCCTGGCTGTCCTGGAACTCACTCTGTAAACCATGCTGGCTTGGAACTCAAGAGATTCACCTGCCTCTGCCTGCCAAGTGCTGGGATTGAAGGAAGACATGTACCACCACCGCCCAGCAGAAGCTAACCTTTCTAAGGAGAGACCAGATCCCAAGCCACTATCTTCCATAGTCCAGGAAGAAATAATCCTGGTTTATGCCCTACAAACCTGAGAGACGGCACAGAAAGAGCCTTGTCTGAACAAGGGATGGGAAGCTGGACCTTGGCAAGGTGAAAAGGCCTGCCTGAGAACATAAAGATGTAAAAACATAAGAAGCCAGGGGTGGGGGCGCACACCTTTAATCCCAGCACTCGGAGGCAGAGACAGGGGGGTTCTCCATGAGTTTGAGGCCAGCCTGGTCTACAGAGTGAGTTCCAGAACAGCCAGAACTGTTACACAGAGAAACCCTGTCTTGGAAAAAAAAAAACAAAAAACAAAGTGGGCATGGTGACACACCTTTGATCCTAGCACTTGGGAGGCAGGCGCAGGCTGATCTCTGCAAGTTTGAGGCCAGCCTGGTCTACAGAGCGAGTTCCAGAACAAAACAAAACAAAACAAAATCAGCAAGAGAAGGAGTTTGGAATCAGAATGCTAGAGCTGGACCCTGGGCTAGAGGTGGCCTGCGGCTACTCCCAAAGGCAGAAGGAACAGACAGACAGCTCAGACTTCTGTATCCTAGCATATTCTTCCTGATTCTTCCCGCTGAACATTTCCAGCCTGAAGCAAAACTTTATGACAGACAAGGAAATTGAGAACTCTGAGTCCCTATAATGTCCCTCAACACAACCCTACCTGGGCACATTCTAAGTTCATCCCAGGCACATTCCAAACATCTTCTACTCCAGGTAACATGATCTGCTTTGTGACTGCAGAACCCAAACCTAACCTGGATCCCTTACAGAAGGCCGGGCCATGTGTGGACAGGAATGGCTGTTAGGCTGTTCCCACCCATGCTGGGAAGAACAACTTAGAGAAGGATTCCCTCAGTCCCATGCTATTAGGGCTTCCTGCACACCTTTCTTCCTGGTTGTGAAATTTATGGCATGTACCACAAAGGCCCTGCCATTTCCTTCCCCGCTTCGCTCTCCTTTGGTGTACTGGTGGAGGCGAGCAGCAGGCAGAGAAGCAGCTAAGTGAATACTGCTGGGGACTATCCTCCTGGCCATGGCCTCCCTTCCCCACCTTGTAGGTCAGCAGACATGGCGGAAAAATGGATGTCTATAATCAGGGACAAGAGAGATGAGACAATTTGGCTAATAATGCAGATGGAGCCCCGGGGTTTAGGTTACCATAAAATGGAGGGCAAAAACTGTTACCTCATCCATAAAATGAGCAAAATAGACAATAGAGACCAAAGGAACTTTAGAAGGTATTTCATAGTACATGTAACTCACATCAAATCATTAACAACCCTTCATAAGAACAGGAAATTTGAAGTTGGACAGATGGCTCAATAGTTAAGCATATATACTGCTCTTCCAAAGGACCTGAGTTCAATTCTAGCATCCATGTTACGTGGCTCATAACCCCCTATAACTCCAATTCCAGGGGTCTAATACCTCTAGCTTCTGGGAGCACCTGTGCATGTGTACTCGAACACACACACACACACACACACACACACACACACACGGTTAAAAATTAAATCTTTTGCTGGGCAGTAGTGGTGCACACCTTTAATTCCAGCACTTAGGGAGGCGGAAGCAGAAGATCTCTGTGAGTTCAAGACCAGCCTGGTCTATAGAGATAGTTCCAGGACAGCTAGGGCTCTTACACAGAGAAACTCTGTCTTGAGAAAACAAACAACAACCAAAAAATAAAATAAAATAAATTGTTAAAGAAATCTTAAGATTTGGCCAGGTGGTGATGGCACACGCCTTTAATCCCAACACTCAGGAGGTCGAGGCAGGCAGATCTCTGAGTTCGAGGCCAGCCTGGTCTACAGAGTGATTTCTAGAACAGCCAGAGTTACACAGAGAAACCCTGTATCAAAAAAATTAAGATTTTATTTATTTACTTACTTTCGTTTTGTTTTGTTTTTGAAACAGAGTTCCGCTATATAGCCCCGAGTGTCCCGGAACCCGTTGTATACACCATACTGTATACACCGTACTGTATACACCGTACTGTATACACCGTACTGTATACACCGTACTGTATACACCGTACTGTATACACCATACTGGCCTCAAACTCATAGAAATTCACCTGTGTCTGTCTCCCAAATCCTGGGATTAAAGGCCACTATTGTTGGCCTGAACGTATGTCTGGAAACCATGTGCCTCCAGTGCCTGTGGAGGCCAGAAGAGGGTAACAGGCCCTATGACTGGAGCAACAGATGGTTGTAAACCATCATGTGGGTGTTGAGAATCAAATCAGTTCCTCTGGAAGGGCAGCTAGTGTTTTTAATTGCTGAGACATCTCTCCAGCCCCAACAATTTTGTCTGTTTGTTTGCTTGCTTGCTTGTTTTTAAAGAACAATAAATCTGAGACTTGAGAGATGTCTTAGTGGTTAAGAGCGCTTGCTGAGGGGCTGGAAAGATGGCTCAAGGGTCAAGAGCACTGGCTATTCTTCCAAAGGACCCAGGTTCAATTCCCAACAGCCACATAGCAGCTCACAACTGTCTGTGCCTCCAACTCCAGAGGACCTGAGGACACCTTCACACAGACACACATGCAGGCAATACACCAATGTATATAAAAATAAATAAATCTTAAAAGAAAAAAGGAGTGCTTGCTGATCTTCTAGAGGACTGAGGACTGGAGTCTGATTCTCAGTATCCATATCTGGTGGCTCACAACCACCTTCAACTCTAGCTCGAGTGGAACCAACGCCATCTTCTGACCTCTGTGGGTACCAGTACACATGTTACATATATGGATACAGATACATACACATAAATAAATCCACTAATTTAGAAGGAAGTGGGAAATAGACAATGATTCCTGGGCCAAGTAAACAAGTGGGACTGAGTCCCGCACACACATCATTGCCCCATTCGTGATTTTTTCAGTACTGGTAATTGACCCAGGGCTTTGTGCATGCTAAGCAGGCACTCAACCACTGGCTATAGCCCTAGCCCCACAATTTGAACAAACCTGGGTCTAACCTCTAAACACACATGAATGCTGTACAGACAGCAAATGGTGAGTCAGGGACTTAACTAGCTCTACTGTCACTTACTGGCTATGTGACTGTTTCAAAAAAACACTTTTCTGGGCCTCAATGTTCTCATCTGTTAAATAGGGAAACTGAGGTTGTGAAAGGAACATTATAGGAACGTGGAGAACTCCTGAATGATAAATAAAACAGTTGCCAGGCATAGGTGACCTTTATTCCCAGCACTAAGGAGGCAGAGGCAGGAAGCTCTCTATGAGTTCGAGGCTGGCCTGGACTATATATTGAGTTCCAGGACAGTCAGGATTACATAGAGAGACCCTGTCTCAAACAAAATTATAAAACAGAAACAGATACTCACAGAGTTATCGCAAGCAACTGACTTAATCCAAGCTTACTAGGACACAGCAACTGGCTGGGTATTATAGTGATACTTTATTTGTATAAACAAATATATAAACAAAGCTGACCTGAAGATCAGAAGGTAAAATTAAGTCACTAGAGGCCAGACAGTGGTGGCACACACCTTTAACCCCAGGATTTGGGAGACAGAGGCAGGTGGATCTCTGTGAGTTCAAGGTCACCCTGGGCTACCAAAGATAGTTGCAGAAACAGATCCAGGCGGTGGTGGCTCACACCTTTAATCTCAGTACTAGGGAGTCACACACCTTTAATCCCAGCATTAAAGGAGAATATAAAACGGGAGGAGACAGATGTTCAGAGCTCAGTCTGCAGTCGCCCAGCCTTGGTAGAGATAAGATTTCTCTAGTGGCTTGGCTGTTTTTCTGATCTTCATCTTGAACCCCAATACCTGTCTCTGGGTTTTTATTATTAGTCAGACAGGGGATCAGTACCCAAAGTGCATTGTCTTATAATTACAAGTATTCCTCCACAATGAATCAAACAGATTATTTTTGGACGCTTCCTTTGATACAGAGCTGGTATCATTCAGCCTCACCCAATAAATCTGAAACAGATGTTTGGTTTTTTTTTCTTTTCTCGGGTAAACTTGTCTGAATTCTCCGTATCCAAAATCAAGACCTGAAAGTATTCATGGAGCTAAGAAGATGTCTTAGGGAAAAACCCTTGCACAATGTCTCATGTCCGTAACGCCAGCACTCCTACAGCAAGATAGGAGGCAAAGACAGAAGA